ATTATTATAGATATTTTATAATAAAAGGGCGTGGCTAGTTTATTCAGTGGTCTTGTCCAATTCTTGTTGTTCAGTGAGCATGATACTGCTCCTGGGTATAATCTTATGTATTGTACGCTTGACATGCGTATGAACCTGGTCATATATAAATGTAAGTATTATCAATAATTAATTATGAAAATTTTGTAGTTAGATGTGCATGTTGCAATACTGATTGCAACACTTATTTCAGTAATTAATCTCAAATTTTCTCTACCTACAAACTTTTAATCTACCCTATTGTATATACTTTAAGGTACTTTACTTACATAATTAACAGCTAATTGTAATTTGCATTGTAAGTACTGAATATATCTAAAATTTGCTAATAACTGATAATTAAGTTTATCGTTACTATTGTAGCGCTTGAATCGTGTATTACCTCTCCATTAAGAAAGCAGAATATAGTGGTGACGATCGCCCCCTGAAGTGCTTCGATCACTATCTGTATGTATTTGGCGACAAACACGCCGGTAGAGCACGACTCAAATGGGTCGATATTGGCGATGTAGAAAGTGTACTGGATGCCAAACACTGGCAATAGGATCAGGGATGCCCGTAGACCAGCACGGAAATGGTCGGGCGATGAACGAAGTTTTGTCATTAACACCCTCACAACGTTAAATAGTAGCAGGGCGTTTAGCTAGTTTAAAAATTATTGTTATAATTATTGAGTTTGCAAGATTTATTAAAAATAAATGTCGAATGAAGTAAACTTAATTTTAGATATTTATTTTAGAATATTAAAAATCTATAAAAGGGATACCATTTCCACAGGCTATATTTATTAATAATTTCTAACTAACTAAATGTTATTTTGTAATATTTTACTGTTTTGAGGATATTTATATAAATATAAAATTAACTTGTAAATAAAAAGTATTTATCATGTGAAAGAATTGTTTTATGATAATATACTACGATAACAATTTAAGTATAAAATTAGAATTAATAATTATGTTAATGCAGCTAGAACGAGTTAAAAATACCCATAAAAGTATTAACATCAAATCATTTAGGATATATTTTGTTTTAATATTTCTAATATTAATGTTAATAAATAGAAATACGTAACATACCACAACACAAGTAACAGGCAAAATGTCATAGATCAGTTCTGGATAAAACATTGGCGTAGTCCAGCAATTAATATCATATTCTTCGAGCGAGTGTACGATAATATATGGTATCATTACGAGTACCGGTGCTCCCCATCCGAATAGGTAGTAATATAGGAAATGTCTTTCCTCGGCAAAGCTTAATACTATTCGCCGGTGCAGGTATGCCGCCTCATTTAACATCCAGCAAAAATTTGTTATATGCGAGAATTTGTAAATTATAACAAGTGCCCGGCACCATTTAGGACTGGCAATTCAAAATGAAACATTAAAAAATATTTTAATTAAAGCCATATTGTTCAAGTTATTTCTAAATTATTTTAAAGTTTTTATAAATCTTATGCAGCATAAGTTAAGCTAATAATTTAATTTTTTTTATAAAGTTATAACTTACTTTTCAAAAAGCACAGGATTTAATGTATAATGCCCCTCTCTAAGCAAATAATCGAACATGATGGAAAACACACAGGTCAATATAATAGAAAATATAAAATTCATGTGAATCTGCACTCGTAATATTTTATATTGCTCATAAAACACAAACACCAACATTCCTATTACGCATAGCACCAGGGAAAATATGTAAATTCCTAGCGACGTGTGTGCCTGTCTCAGTCTATCCGATGCCATTGGGTGCGTACAGTAGTCATAGTGGGTATCCTCGTCCATGTAATACCCGTCCTCCGGGTGCTGGTCATCGTATAGCAGCCATTTGGTTGCCCAGGTGCCATTATCCAGACAATGTTTGCTAGCATATTCATTAGCGCATTCGGTGGGGTGATAGCCCAATATGTTATGGGACATGCCAGGGCATTTTTGAAATTCAACGCGACCGGGCAATGCCGAGTCCCAGCACATCCAACCGTCCCATTTAGCCGGGCATCGCCTGCCTGTGCCGGACGGGTCGACCGGTTCTTGTAATTGTTTTTCGCAACACTTTTGGGCGTCTGAACAACAGCTGAGGAATGTGTTCTGGGTGAAATTAAAATATTTTATACATTTGTAACAAAATTGTTTGAAACAAAAATAATATCTACAAGCCAATAATGAAACTTGTCATAACAATTTAAGATTATTTTCAGTGAATTACAAAAATGAGTAATATACAGTAGCTTGTGCAATTAGTATTGTTATAAGGATTATAAAATTGAAATAATTTGATATACATGTAATTCACTGATTATTTTAGATATTTAAAAATATTTATATGCAATTATAAGCATACCATATAAAATTCATTTTCAAATTGCGTTAGGAAAATATCATCTTGCCAATTTGCAATATCCAAGTCACTGAAATTGAAGGGCACATTGTACCGGTGTTTCCCATGACCCTCGCCCACCACAAAACTTATGATAACATCAGGGTAATAGAAAAATGACATTGCCCGGTTGACAATCGTATCGTTAGCCCATGCAGCATCAACATCTGCCATATACCAATAGCACCTTGCACACATGCAATTGGTAAAATTGTCTACGGTCATAAAATCAACTTCCTTATTGCTGTAATCCAGGGCATTGTGATGACAATTAAGCGTTTGAATAGTGTGCACAGTAATTAACAAGCACATTAAAGTTTGTAACAAATATGTACTTGATTTTCGAAATATTTTAGGCATGATGATTTATGTTTAACCATAAACTTTTTTATTAACAATGAATTAAAATAAAATATTTAACTTCCGATGCAATCAACAAAAACTGGTTGTTTTAATCGCATTTCAAACAATTCAGTAGAAAAACAAATAATTATTTTTTTCGTTTGCAGTGATTCTCATGACTCGAGTACTGAAAACATTATTTACAGACAATTGTAAAACACATTCAAAGGAAAAGCATTTCATATCTAATCGTTATGTGAGGAGAGAATGGCTTTTTAATCCATACTTGAGATGAGGTTTTATATTAAAATGAATTTTTGTTTTTAAGCCAAAAAATCAATATTTAATGTTCGCTAACATAACCACCAATTTATGAACAAAATCACATTGGTACTTAATTAGTTATTAGTTTTCTGAAAATTTCACAAATTATAAATATTGTATTTATTTACAAACAAATATGTTTTACACATAATTATGTGTTTTGTTTGAATCACATTAAATAAATATTACATAAAATTTATTATGAGATTATTATTAATAATGAGCTGTTTATCAGACATTCTATACTGTATATTAGAGCACAGGTATGTTAATGATCAAGCTCAACTATTAAAGATTACAAATAATAAGATGTAAATATTACTACATGCTAGTTAAATATATTAACAAAACTGACAACTATTTATATACATGCTCATATCGGATTAGCCTTGCTCCCATAAGTTTGTACCGGAATATTCATGGCAATGACATAAATCTAAAGTAACCTTGGTGTTCCACCTCTATTTTGAGCAAATGATTTACTCATTTATTTTCTTATAATAAAACAATTAAAAACGACAACCGATTAGATAATGAAGAAGTATTTGAATGATAACTCAAATGT